GTCCCTTTTGTTGTCCTTCTCTGTGGTCTTTTGTCATGGTAATTTTTCTTACTACCGTGCATCTGACAAAAGAACAAGTTCTGGATACAAAAGAACCGTGTAAGGGCTAATTATTGTGTTAGAACTTAATACAAATCAAGGTAATTAGATTTAAGTAACCTCTTACCACGAAGGTATGTACAAAGTATTTATCAGTTCTGAATATGGTAGTCTGTCCTGCTATTGACGTCATTCAGACAGAATACAGTCTATGACCAATAAATTTGTTTGCTCCTCATTGTGATTATGGAGGGAGGAAAAAAAATCCCAAGACCCCCTAAACCCATAGTTCTTGCCTCAAAGTTTTACTTTAACTTTACAACATCACTGTACATCTCTAAATTACTGCATTTAAATTTAAAATTACATTTTGTTATTCTGCCAGTTCTTTAGGCAGAATGGGTACAAGCTAGAAAAAGAAACACTATGTACATTCTAGGAAGCTTTTCACTCTGCAATCAATGAGTGACTTGCTAGCAATTTCTTTTAGCACTTCATCTGCTAGAAAGAAGTAAAAAAGTTGGACTTAATTTGAAGAAGAGGACCAAAGGAAGGAACCTTGTCTACCTTGGTTTCTTGTGGTGGTTCTGTTCTGCACTGAAGTATTGCTCTAAAAATGAATTTGCTTCTGCCAACATGAAAAGAAGAGTAACTCTAGGCCTCAGTCTCTTTTCTCTGTGATTAGGAAAATGGAGCATTCAGTCATGTCAGAAATTTTGCAAAAGAAGCAAGAACCAGGAGCTTAACCATAGGTCTAATTTCTTTGCACCTTAAGTTGTCCCACAACAATGTTTGAAGTAGTATTTTGTCAATTCTGAAGTCTTGTAAAAGGGTTTTTTTTAAATTTTCAAAGAACAATTTCCTTATTATTGAAGTAAAAGCAGTATTTAAACATTTTAAATGTGTGTTACTTATGATGTAGAAGGATTCAAATAACACTTCGGGGTTTTATTTGGTGGAAATCCCCATTTTAATTATTAGAAAGAATGATACTGCCTCACGCAAAAAAAAAAAAAAAGCAAGCTGTGTTAGCTTGAGGCTAACACTTGAGTCTTTTCATGGACTGCTGAAAATGGTGCTGAAGATTATTTTCTTTAATTTTTGCAGCACATTTGCCTTTTATAGATTTTGCTATGATCCACAATTGTTTGATCATGGAGGTTATGAGGTTTCTTTTGTTTGGTTGGGGTTTTTTTTGTTTTTGTTTTTTTTTTTTGCAGTTGATGCATCCATAGAAAAAGAAACATCCTTGTGTTTTCTGAGAACCTATGTCTGTAGTGTCTGTAATGGCATTAAAAACAGAGTAGCTGTATAGTGATGGTGTGTAACTGACTTGGTGGTTTTTGTTGTGAAGTCTTTGGAATAATACTAATACAAATATTTTTTTTTCCTTTGTGGTGCTTTATGAAGTGGCTTAAAAACATTTCAGAGGCTTATGGTTCCATTAGTTATGGAAATTTATGGAAGCCTTCATATTCTGTTGCTTTATGTTGCATTGCTGGTGTGACTCGTGTGGTCACTTTGCACTGAGATAAAGAAAGAGGATAATGAGATGCTGCTAAAGCAGAGTGGATACTTGTGGGCTCTGGTTTAAACTCAGTGGTGTAACAGTACAACTTTCCAACTACAGAGGAATATGTCTTCTATCACAGCATTCTATCACAACATTAAAAACACAGTTTTTAATGTTCTTGGCTATGGACTCCTTTGCCACTGAAACAGGGCAGAAAAAAAGTGGTTTAATAATGATGGGAGAGGGAGTCTGTGGGGGTCTGTATGCCTTCTGGAATTGGGCATGTTATTACTAATCAAAAATACATTTTTTTCAATAGTGACATAAAAAAAAATGTGCACAGAGTTTCTACTCCTAACATATTTACATGAAGGGTATATCCAGCCTATGTGTGTATTTGGATTTACAAAAAAAAGTCCTCTAAGCAGTTCAAGAAAATGATGCTATTACTGGCTTGCTGAGAGAGGATTAATTAGGAAATGTCTTCCCTTATCTGGATTTCTAGAAGTTACAGTGGTTCACTTCCTTTTAGCAGAACATTATACAGAATGACACTAGGCACTATATTAAATAATTATGTTATTACATATTTCTTCTCTGAGACTTGATACTTTGGTTAAATTTGAAGTTATTTGCTAGAGGACTGTTCAGCTGTCAGATGAAGGAATCAGCTTGAAATAACCTTAATATAGGGTATGGTATGTTTGAATAATGAAAAGCCAGGGAAAATCTTGAAATCTGGGGGACTCCAGGAAAATCTTTTTTTGCATAAATACTAGCTTTACTCTGCATACGTTTTATTCCCAACCCCCCCTCTTTTCTCCAGTACTGATACTCGAAAAGGTGGAAAATGGAGATCTGAGCAACAAGATGTTGAAGATCACGGATTTCGGCTTGGCCAGGGAGTGGCATAAAACTACCAAAATGAGCGCAGCTGGGACATATGCCTGGATGGCTCCTGAGGTCATCCGCTCTTCCATGTTCTCCAAAGGCAGCGATGTTTGGAGGTATTGATTTGGCATTAAGTGATTGGATACTAAAGGGTAACTAGACCTGCCAGGAAGTCTCTTTTATGTATAAGAATGAGTAATGGTGAACCAAATATTAAAACTCAGGTCTTAAGAAAACTTTATCCATCAGCTTTCCATCTGTCACACTTATCTCAGATTTATTGTTACTGTAGAAAATAAGTGGTGGGCCAGCTACTGCATGCCTCTAAATATTTGTTGTTCTATAAGTTTTCGTTCAGATTATTTTGAGATTCATAATCCAAATCCCCTCTGCTTTATCTAAACCAAACATTCTGGGTTTATTTGGCTATTGACTGACATAATCAAAGGCCATAATACAATCTGAGAAGTACTTCATTTTTATAATGTTTTACATACGAGATAATTTTGAAATATTTTGTTTTGGTAGTAATTTGTCACTAATGTATGTGTATACAAACACACTGTACTTAATTGAATTCCCCATCCTGTTTTGATCCCAATACTATGTTTTTCCTTTTCATAATAATTTTATTAATTATTTTCACCCTTCTAGTCTTTTAGAAAGGATAATAGATCTCTTATCTGGGTCCATCTGAGTATGTAATCAATAAATAATAACTTGCATGTTTATATTGTCCTGTTCGTTCATGCAGTGGAATATTTGTGAATGAGCTCATTTGGTGGGGAGGAGTGTAAGGGTTGACCCATATACTTCCAGAAATTGAGTTTGGATAGCACTGTTAAGTGGATTGGTAAATACAGGATTCAGTAAATAGCTCCAGGACAGTGGCTTTTCTGGATGCTGGATGACTTAGAATTAGTACTGAATGTCTGAAAAAGATAAAATAGAGAGAATTTTGTTTTTCTTGTGGAGGAAAAGGTGTTGAAATTTCAGGATCTTTGTCTTCATAGCAGTAAGATTCTGTTGCTAGCCACTAATGCTCCTCCACAAGTGCATGCATGCTGTAAAATCCATCAGGATAAAGAAATAGCCCAGCTAGTAGATGTGTGGCTGTTATGGCAGCTATTTGGTGGGGGATTTTAATTTTCCTTGTCCAGTTTTGCTGAATAGATATTGTGTTGCCTTGTGATAAGTCTGTAAACTTCCATTTTGCACTCTAATAGCATGGATAAAATTCTGACTCTGTAATTAAATATGGTAGCCTCTGTAGCTAATCTGAGACAGAATGAGCAAGAATCTGGCTTTTATTTGGAGTGAAGTCTGGCAGAAATTAAAATCTTGAGGCTGTGCACCTTTTCTGTGCATATGATGATGATACTGGTTTGTACACAGCTTGTCAACCTCAAACCTAAACTTGCTGTTCCCTGAAACAGTGCCAGGAAGGGCCTTTAAGGGTAACCTAAGGGAAAGGGGAAACAGTTTTCCTGTAATTGTAACTTTAGTAATCCAGGCATGCTATGAACAGATCAGAAGGTTTTCTGTACCAGTATGAAGTAATCTTTAAAAAGTTAAGAATTTTTCAGTCGCTTGGTGATTTTCATTAAATGCCTCTATGCCCATGCAAAAGTACCAGTTTGATCATTGATTTAAGGACTGTGAATCACTTCAGGACTTATGGACTGTAAATAACTGAAATTATTTGTTCATTTTTCAGAATATTTTATTTCTACTTTTAAGATTCTTTCATCACTTTCTCTTGTTATAGTTACCAGTCTTCCCTTGAAAAGAGGTTGAGTTCCTCACAATACTCTCCCTTAAACAGAGTCATCACCATTAAGGGAACTTATGTACTGTCTCTGAATAAGCTTTTTCTTTCTGGTGGCTAAAACCTCTATTCATAGTTAAACAAGCTGAAAAGAACATGTATACAGAGGACAAATGCTTGCCAGTGCAATCACTACTAGTTTGTCAATGACTGTAAGCCCTAGATTTTACAAAAGCAGTCATGGACTTGTGTAATAATTCCTGTCCCCACCCAAGGATGCAACCTGAAATTCTTAACAGGATGAACTTTTTTATCCTATTAGACTTGCTCCTCCTCTTGTCCAGTTCAACCACTTGGTTAATCACTGGAGTCATAGAGCGTTTTTTTGCCTGACAGCCTTCCAGTTAGTCAGTGCAGCATCAACAGAATTGTCTCTAATGTTTGCGAACCCCTTTATTTCAACACCTTTTCTTTAAAGCTTATTAGAGTAATACTGCTGGCTAAACTGTTGCCCAGCTTTTGAACATGAATCTTGTTCTGCTTGTGTTCTTGCTGCACAAACAGGTGAAGGACTGAAATTTCCTGAGTCAGTCTTATCATAACTGAGTGTTTCATCTTTTCAAAGCATGTTTCAAGCTCCATTTAAAAAGCTCCACCTGTTTACTCTGGAGTAGGGTTGGCAAAAACTTAAAAAGAGTAAGGAATGGCCACACATGGTACTTATCACCAGGGTCTGGGCCACTGTGAAGCCTGTTTATAGTACCAGTACTTAGTAAATCTTGCTAGTGAAAACTTTTTGCTGTGAATTTTGCTGTGCTGTACCCATAGGCTCTAGATATACAGTAGAAGCCTTGTGTTTATATTGCACATAGTATGGTGAAACTGCAATTTTATTTAAATAAGTCCCTTCCTGTAAATCTGTTTCGTGTTTGTATTTGCTTTGGGTTTACAAGGGTAAAGTTGAAGCTTGGATATTGCAGCTCATCCAGTACTGTACACTAATGTTAGTAGGCATATAAATAAAATATTTTTGTCATTTGGCTGTTTAAATATATTTCTTGTTTGCTGTACACTTAATTTTTTACTGCTTAAAAGACAGTCATACTGTCAGTACTACTGGTGTGTGGAATATAAAGGCACAATACAACAACCTTCATCTGGCTTCTCCTATGTTCCTTAATTTAGATATTTTTAAGCTATATCTATTCTGAGATCAGTGAAATAATTGGGAATTTAATTTCCATTTAGGAATGGAATACCAACTCTAGATTAAACCATCAGATTAGCAGAGCAAGAAGTTTCAGGCATTCAGTGCTGGGTGTAGAAACTTCATTCATTAGAATATTTTGTTTTAATCAAGTGTTGGTGAAGCACTTCCACCCACAACTGAACACTTGTAGGCTTCTGTAGTTTTCTGTGTGTAATGAAGCACTGTCAAGACTTCAGTACCTGGCAGATAAATGCTGACTAGCAATATTAGAAGAAACTCATCTGGGAGAAGAACATGATACTGATTGTTGTGAAATGGGCAAGAAAGATCATCTATGGAACTGTCAGTTCATTAACATGCAAAATGCCAGCTGTTAATAGGCATAAAAATGTAATGAAGTTTGGGAGGCTTTTTTCATAATGAAAGTCATGTTCTAATTGTTGTTGGAACTGGGATCTCTTTGTTGGGCTGATAATTACTTCCTCATGGAAAGTGTTGAACCTGGGAAAATGGGTAAGAGACATCTATGGTACATATGCTACGGAACAGTACCATTGAGGAAAAAATTACTTGTTTTTTAAAAGTTCACAGACTATCAAGGGAAGTGGCAAAATCACATGTGAAATCCTGCAGACCTCCAGCCTCCCTTGCCCTGAAAATCCAGTGAGTAGGATTGAACCTGATGTTAAATGGCTTAAGGGATTACTGGATCACTGAAAGATGGTTAATTATTCACACAAGTGTCAGTTGACTTGGATGCATGGGTTGTGTCACATGGTTCATTTCATAATTTAAGTCCAAAAATTACTACTAGGTGCTGGAAAAATAAATGACCTTGATCACTTTTTCTTTCTCCCCACTGAGAATGTATAGAGGCCCTTGTTTCTTTCTTTCTATGCCTTTTTTTTTTGTTTAAGTCTTCTGATCTGGCTTTTTCCTTTGTACTTTCCAATCTTCTGCTTGAGAGTTAATAGGAAAAAACTCTGTTCAGCACCTCTCTTGGTGTTTATTCACTTGGGATTATCATTCAAGTACCACAAAGCAGTATTCCCAGTTCTGTGGAAGCAGTATTCTCAGCAGTGAGCTGTAAGTATAGTGGCGTTGAGTTTTGTCAGAAGCAAAGTGACCTTTCCTGCAATGTACACTTCTAGTGTCACATTAGAAGAAACACCAATCTGTCTATTCCTTTTTCCTTTTAAAATTACCCTGCAGAAGAAGTGCTTTGAGCACATCAGTAGTGCTTTATCCAATACTAGCGTTAGGGTAATATTACAGCTCTTTGGTAAATTTTATTACCTTTTACTATCAACAGTGATATCCAAACTGGAAAATAACATGAATGATCAATCAGATTTACACAGTTCAAATATACATTCAGTTCACTTTTCATTTTCTTTGAGTGTTTTATAAATCCTAGGAGGCCAAGAAGAAAATGGGAACTCCTTAGGCTCTAGTTTATTTTTTTCAAATAATGGTCTCAAGACAATAAGAAATGATAAATTATAATATCAAGAGTGTGAATTACATAAGAAAAAAGCAAAAGATTGTGTAGATCAAAAAATATTATATTCTGCTTAATAAAGTAAAATAGCTGTGTTAACAGCAAAGGTTGGACCTTTAGTTACTAAAATCCTTTATCTAAGTAGGAAAAGTACTGTTAAAGGTACTAAGGTAGCAGCAGTTACAGTGAATGTCAAAGATGTGATGGGGTGGAAGGGAGATCACAAGAGTACAATTTGTGATAATGCACTCCCAAAGGATAGGGAAACTGTTGCTTTGAAACAAGAAAAGCTTAATGTTTTAGCTTTATATTATATTTATATTTTAACTCTTTAATGGAGCAGCTATTTAAGGAGATTGTCAGAAGAGAAGCAATTTTTCATTTGGTCTTCAGTTGTGCTTAGGAGGCCTTCAAGGTGGTATACTATGACATGGTCCAAATATATGTATATCTAGATTTTGTATCTTTGCAAGCACAATTGAGAAAAATTAGTCCATTACGGTAGTGTTTAATCACAAGATTATTGACAGAAGTGGGAATTTTGTGTAAAAACAACAAAAGCAGAACACACAGCAGGATATCTTTTAAGGACACTGTTAAAGCTCTGAGTGAATGTATAGGAAATCCTTCAAAAGAATGAAGAAGACAGTGTAGAAAAGACTACTGAAAGACTATATGTTTTTAAAATCTCAGTCTGTATCCAAATGAGGAAGATATGCATTGACTTGAGCTCTTTCAAGTTGAACATAAAACAAAGATAAAAGGGTTTTGAAGAGAGTCTTCTTAAAGCATAAAACCAAATCCCTTGCTTTCAAATGCAGCACATGATAACCCTGCAGGAGAACCTAACAGGTGGGCAAAAGGTGGGAGTGCAAAGAAGATAAGGCTATATCAGAAAAAAAACTTCAGTGGCTTGTGTCTGCCAGAATAGAGCAGAGACATTTTAAGCTGAAAATTTCTCTTTAAGGGAGTCAGGCCTGGAAGACATATCTTGCTGAAGGTGTTAAAGGTGTTAAAACTGACTGATTAAATGAGCAGTTACAATTCCTGAGATTCACAGTAACACCCAAGATGTCTACAAGAACATGAGAGTCAGCTAAGTTAGTAGCTATGTTGTGTAATCTCTTGCTTAAAGCTGGTGTAGTACCAGAGAAATGGAAGACAGCAGACGTGGTAGTAGGTCTTAAAAGATCTTCCTGAGGATTAGCAAGTATGATTGTATGATCTTGAATTCTTCTCAATGGTAGAAACAGCACTAAAGAGCAGGGAGCTGGTGGACATGTGAGCATATCTGGGGAAGAGTTAGCTTTTGTAGAAGAAAATGTAATACCCTGTGAAAAGTGAAAATGCTTGGAGGAGATACTGACTATGTTGATAAGTGGTGAGGTTGCTTATACTATATTTGGATTTATAAAGAATTTAAGCAAAATCCTTCATCATAAGCTTTTAAATAAAATAAATTGATGAGGGAAAAGAGGGAAAGTATTTTTTCCATCATTTAACACATTCTTACTAAAAAAATAAATCAGTTTTCTTGGTGGGGAATTCAACACAATGATAAGTGATTTGAAAAAGCAATACATGGTTAGGTAGCATGGTTGATGATACCAAGTTATTCAAGATAAGAAAAAGTAATGTACTGCAGAGAGACAAAGAAAAGTTTCACTATAATGAATGATAAAATAGATGGTAATAAATTCAAAGTAGTACCCATGGGTACTACTCATGTGTACAATTTATGGGCTCTAAATTTTACTATTGTGATTCAGTAAAAACACATTGGAGCTACTATGGATAATTTAGCTTATTTTGTAAAGAGTGAGAAAGGCAACTGGCAAATGAAAATTTAGTAGGCAGGAAAGAAAGAAAACAAGCAATACCATCTGTGTCTCTCCCCATATCTTTAAAACTTCGTGATTTTGCTCATTCCAACAGAAGATGTCAAAATCAATGAAAGATATGAAATGGCTTCTGTTCAGGATAGTAACTAGATTAGGATTTAGCTATATTAAGATTTAGCTAGATTAGGATTTGGGGGTCTGGAAAGATGATGATTTAGTCAGGATGTGTGGGAGCCTGTGAAATCATGGACAGCATGGAAGGAGCTAATAGGGAAGATATCTTTATTCTTTCTTGTATTGAAAGAGCTACAGGGAAGCCAGTGAAATTACCAAGTGATAAGCTCAAAACAAGTACACGGAAGTATTTTTTGGCAATGCATCATTAAATCTGTGGAGTTCACTACCACAGAATATAATGGACAGTAAATGGGTTCAGAAGAGAGTAAGAGATCAATAGAAGAAAAAACTGTCAGGTCACCAAGTATGAAGAAGCAGTTTCTGTTTTGAGTTTTCTAGAAGCAGAAAAAATATTCTGAGGTTATGTTTTTCATCATATATTTTGGGAAAGAATAATCCTGGAACTATTTCCATAACTTCATGGGTAGTATTTTGTAGAATATCTTAAGATGACAAGTTAATTCTAAAGAAGTATTTTTCACTTGTTTTTAGAAATCACAAGCCACCAAGCAACATTCCTCATTTTTTTGGGTGCTTTGAGAGGTTCTGTTTGGAAACTAAATGAGAAGATTTATGATTTTCAGATTGTTCCTAGTTTCAGAGAGAAAATTATTTTTGCCTAAAAGGTGAAAATGTGATCTTATTTCAGACTTATTATAAAAAGCAGGTAAAATAGAGCAGATCACCAGCTTGGCATTCATGATAAGCTTGTCCTGCAAACTGCAATTTCTTTAGTATACTAAATTCCCAGGTTCAGGTACCTTGTTGCTTAACAAAGGCTATATTAAAGTCAAACACCTATTGTCTTTTTTGTTTCCTTCCCAATAGTTATGGTGTGCTGCTTTGGGAACTGCTGACAGGAGAAGTACCATTCCGAGGAATTGATGGTCTTGCAGTAGCATATGGTGTTGCTATGAATAAGCTTGCCCTTCCAATCCCTTCCACGTGTCCTGAGCCTTTTGCCAAACTCATGGAAGGTAAGCCAGCTCTGGTGTGTGTGGTTTGTGCTGTTTCTAGAGTGCTGTTGAGCATGGCCTCTTTGTGTCGGTTTTGTTACTTAACAGCACAGATTTCTCCAGTGGCTTTATTCAGTGGTGCAGGTTATTGTGGAAGCCAGGCCTGACTGTTAGTGTGCTGTGACAGCGAGTCTAGTATTAGAATAATAAAGATTTTTTTTACCAACTGTCTTTATAGGAAAAGGGGGCTATTGCTGTTATCTCTTAGCTTGTTTTCTATTAGTGATGACTCACCAACACCAAAATTTCACATGTTTATTAGGTCTTGTTTGAAGTCTAACTTGTTTTAAAATTCATAGCTCAAACATCTTGCTCATAGTATCAGATTGGTTTGAAATGAATCTTTATCCTACTGACATTTCAGGGAGAGGTTTTAAATGTGGCTTTGACATTCCAAAACAACCCATATTTTCAGTCAGAATGATGTGATTTTCTACTTTGGAGGTAGTTCATGCCCAAGGTGGGCTACAGAGAGGTGAAAGAAAAACAGGAGTTAGTCATCAGGGCTGATGTAGTTATTAAAAAGGATTGTGTGAGGTCATTTTTGGGTGCACTTATGTGACCTGGTCTGCTGGCCATTGAAACTGCTTTCATGTCTCCCAAGCTTCAGTTGTTTCTCCCTCCCTCTCTCCTGCCATCTCTCTCTTCCTTACCTTCAGTATTTTTCTCAGTTTCCCCTTTCTCAAGGATTTCTAGGTGTTTATATGTAATAAACATTTTTATACCTATCTGGCAAAAAAGAAAACAGAGATAAAGAGAAAGCAAATTTGGTTTATAGTCTTGGTGAGCAAAAAATGGGTCTCAACATAGAACTGGTACTCTGTGGCCTCTGGTGGTGCTTTTAGCCTCAGGAAAGGAATATGAATTATGAAGAAAATGTTTCTGATTGATTTTTTTTCCCCTGCTTTTGGAATACTTTTGCCTTTCTCTGGTGTTTCCTTTAGGTTACAATCTTCAGTTAATTTAAGGTAAAAAATTTCATATATGTTCTGCTATAAAAGAAATATCCTACTGGATAATAAGCAGTAGAGCTGCAGGTACAGTAGCTTGGAGGCAGTGTGAAGTGAGAAACTGCATCTGAAAGAGTTGATGAAACTACCAGCTCAGTGTTGTGCCAGGTAGTTTATTTTGACATGCTTTCCTGGATTTCTTAACTATAAGTGAGGATTTAAAAATCATGCCCTCTATTGGGAAAGTTAGGCAGAGGCATATGGCCCATGCCTGAACCCAGCAGCACAGGGGTGAGCACCCACGTGGCTTTGGAACACTTGGCTTCTCTGTGTGCAGGGGGAAGATGAGAACAAAAGAACCCAATTACTTTCTGCCCCTTCACCAAAGCTGTTTTCCAAACAGGCTGTTTCCCTTCTCGGGTGAACTCTTCTTCCTCTAATGTTGCTTTCACTTTTGATTTACTGCCATGGTGGTCTTCACTGAGACAACAAAGCTGAACTTTGGCTCTTCACAGAAGAGTTATATGTTACAACTGTCCTCATTAGTGCAAATAATGGCTGATCCAGACCTGGGAAAATAAAAGCCACGGGCCACCTGCTAGTTATCCTGTTCACTCATTCATGCATTTGGCTGGCTGCAGTATTTTGTTTGACTTTGGGTCATGTTTGCTTTGCTGTGCTTAAAACCTGAGGTAAAGAGATGGATTATGGCACTGACAGTCCAGCTGTAACACCCATTGCTACTAATTGGCAAGCAGCAGGGGATCATCAGAGCACTCTTTAACATCCTCAGTTCTCTATTTTGATCAAAGAAATAAATACAAATGTGTTCCAGGATGGAACCTGTTGATATCCACAGTTTTGAAAACAGAACTTGCAAATGCAAAATCTCAATAAGGTTAAATTCAAAGGGAAGAATTGCAGAACTAAGCCTTGGCTGTTGCATAGGTCTTGTAAAGTGATTTTTATTTTTAATTACACCTGCCCCTTGATGTACTTCAGTCCACAAAACTGACAAGTGAAAATCTTTTAGGACATGACCTAATATTTTTAAGAATGTTCCCTTTTTTCTGACTTCAAGGCTAGAAAACTTTTAGAACATTTTTATAACTCTTGTCTTGGGCTGCAGTAATGCTTGTCTTAAGTTCAGTAACCATGTGGAGCAATGCTGTATGATGAGAGTCACCCAGGTGTTAGTTACTTCTGTTCATGCAGAAAAGCAGTATTCCTTACAAATACATGTGAATGTGAAGTTTTTGTGTTTGGTTGTTCTGGAATTTTGGCATGCAGGCATCAAGCATTACTAAAGAGAATAAGGACACTTGCTGAACAAGAGCCTGTGTAAGTGCTGTTACAGGACAACATAGAATAAGAAAGTTATTTTTTTTCTGCTGGAGTAGAAATGAGGGGGAAGGAAAAATGAATGAGTGCAAATTTCCAATTCAAAAGTATTGTTAAATCAAATGTTTTGATGTAATGATTTAGGGGGTTGTATGTAATGGATTGAGGGTTACTTCATACTATTTTCTGTTTCTGTTTTCTGCGTTCAATTCCCATCACTGTAAAACATTGCTTTTTGTACTCATTGAGCTGCTTTATGTGGTAAGATGGCTACTTTCGGTTCTGTGTTTTAGAGCTCTGTAGTTGGAGCTCTAGCTGCAATTGAATAATTCCATTAGATTGTAAATGAAAAAAACTTGTTCGCATCTGTGGTTTCTCCTAAAAGCAAAAGAAAAATGACTGATTAATTTTCTTTCAAATAATAAAAAAGGACCTGTAAAAACAGGAGAACTCCAGATGCACCATTTGATGTCATTATTTACTTGAATCTATTATTTTCACACAAGTTATGCCCAATTTGCTTTGCAGGAGGGGTTTTCCATTCTGAGAAAAGATTCATAATTACTCAGCTCAGTATTAGATTTTGGCATCAGGAAAAACCCTGATAGATATCCTCCTGCAGTATGGCTGTTAACTCTGCAGTGTAACTATTATAAGTATGTGCAAGAGCCTTGCATAGTATTTCTACTCTGTGAACACATATATGCATCTGAAAGCAAAATATTAAAGGAAATGATTTATTATTTTTAAAAATGCTTTAAGGTGTACCCTTCTGTAAAATTAATAAATCTTTGTTTTACTTGACATATTATTGCAATAGAACCTAGAGACCTAGGTAGTTAGATAGTTCAAGATTTTAAGTGTTGTTGGATATTGTACAAGCATGAATTCCATACTTGACAATAGTCAGTGCAAGTGGGCAGTGGGAAAGCTGGGGTAACACAGGTAGTGTGTATGCCAGTCTTAGCCACTGGGGATCAGTAAAGTACTACCCATCCTCTCAGACCTCCATACTTAGAGATGCTTGACAGCTGTTTGTCTTTATTCTGTTCTAGATTGCTGGAACCCTGACCCACACTCACGACCTTCCTTTGCCACTATCCTAGACCATCTTACTGCCATAGAAGAGTCTGGTTTTTTTGAAATGCCCAAAGATTCCTTCCACTCCCTGCAGGAAGACTGGAAACAAGAGATCCAAGAGATGTTTGATCAGCTTAGAGCCAAAGAAAAGGTAAGTAGAGAGTAATGCTCCCTGCTTGTGCTCTCTGGATTGTAATTTCCCCATTCCATAGTTCAAACAGGGATCACTGTTTCGTGCATCCCAGAGCTAATTTTGTCTGTGTTTTGCTGGAGTTTATATTAAGTCCCCAGATCAATGGCAGGTTATGATGCACACAAGGGAAGAATCATGAGAAAAATAAATATCCACATCCTCAGCTGCTATTCTTTCTAATATTGTAGTGAGCTTCCATTATACTCTGTGTAAATTGCTGTGATGAGTTGATTGTTTATTGCATTTGATAACTGTTTCACTATTAGCATCTTAATTGAGAAACCCAATGAAAACTATTAACAGGAGATGTAGGAGGGTAGTTCCAGCTCACATATACTCTAGTTAACATTGTAGCTTTGTTTCTGCTGTGTTTGTGTTTTCAAGGTTTTGAGCACAACCAAAATGCATAGACTAATAAACATGAGTGCTACCAGGGGAAGGGTCCAGTAAAAGCTATAACTGAAGTCCATCTGGGCAAATAGCAGGAAACAAAAATGCTATCAGGAATAACAAGAATGGTGACCAGCAGCCTCGAAGGGGAGATGTGAAAAAACTGAATTTTTCTTCAAGCATGCTTGCAGAAAGCACAGTTTGCTGCATCTAATTTAAGGTCCTTACAGAGACTGTCTTTAGTTGTTGGTAAGAAAAATTGCAGCAGAACCAAAATCACTAGTGTAATAATATATTTATAAGTTCACAGTCTCTTGCCTGAAAGTAAACTCATAATAAGCAGCCATCTTGATATCTTGATCTGGGCTCAGAGGTTGGTTTGGGAGGCAGAGAGAGAAAGAAAAGAAGGCTTTGGGTCAGAGGAAAGAAGTCAGCTTCTACAACAATACTTAAAACATTTCTATGCACCTATTTTAGTAGCTTTTGGGAAAAATAAATTAGCTGATAGACATTTCCTTGCTACTGTTGTCCCATGGCATATCTGTGTTGGAACAGTTTTTGAAAACCAGAAACTTCAACAGACAAACAGTACGAACTAAACACTAGCTAGTTTAGCTAGTTAGTGCTAGCTAAACAGTACTAACTACACTGCCCTCAGGATGAGTACTGCATTCATCTTTAGCAATGGGAAAATAATTTTATATGCTGTTCACTTATTGAAATCTCCCTGGTGGTGAACCAGGTAACAATGCCGTTATTAAAAACTAAAAATTAAAATCTGTCTGATTATCTATCTGATGTTTAACTTGACTTCAGTTTTTGCCTTCCGCACTGGAATTGGCCATCTGGAGAGAATTATTCAAAGTGCTAAATTCTTTTGTCCTTGTGGTGGGAGGACAGGAACACAGTGGGATTTTGGGATTTCAAGGACAGTTTCAGTTAATTCGTTTTGTCAGCAAGGGATAGATTGAAAGGTTTGCCTTATGTGCCATTGCCAGGACCATATCAAGATGGTTTCTGAATATCCCCAAGGAGGGAGACTCCACAACCTCACTGGGTAACCTTTTCTAGTGCTCAATAATGCAGTATAAAAGTGTTCAGAGAGTGTCCCCCGTGTTGCAATGTTTACCCGTTGCTCTTCTTCTGTTACTGGGCACTGCTGAAGAGAGCTTGACTTTATCTTTTTTCCACCCTTCCCTCGGGTTTTTATTTACACCAGTAAGATACCCCTTCACACAAACCTCCTCTGGGCTAGGATGAACAGTCCCATCTCTCTCAGCCATTTCTCACATGGCCCTTCATTGGATTCTCTCTGGTATGTCCATGTCTGTCTTGTACTGGAGAGCCTAGAATTTTACACAGGATTTCAGGTGTGGCCTCACAAGTGGTTATGTCTGAATTTTGATACTGGTACGAGGAGCCTTGAAGGGCAAGCATTGAAGTCCTTGAGGATTTTTTTTGGCTCTCAGCTGAGCCTTTAACCAGTGGGTGCAAGCCATTGACGCTGTGCCTTCAGAACTGGTAATGCTGGTCTTAACCCAGAGGTCACAAGGTAGCCTTTTGTTTCTGCTTTCTTATCTCCCTGAAGGAGCTGCGCACATGGGAAGAAGAGCTGTCTCGTGCTGCTGTTGAACAGAAGAACCATGAGGAGCTGCTACGAAGGCGGGAACAGGAACTGGCAGAACGCGAGATTGACATTCTGGAAAGGGAGCTCAACATCATCATCCACCAGCTGTGTCAGGAGAAGCCTCGGGTCAAGAAACGCATGGGGAAGTTCAAGAGGAGCCGGCTCAAGTTAAAGGATGGCAATCATATCAGTTTGCCTTCAGGTTGGTGATGTGTTAGGCTGTGCCAGGTGAAATGGGAGCAGCCTGTAGGTTTGATAATGCCTTACTACTGACCTGTATGCATTAGAAAGGATTTTATGTACTTCAGGAAAAACATGCCTCTTTGTGATCAATAAACTAAATTTAATGATAACATTAACATTGCCCAAAGTTCCAATATGAAGGCCAGAAGTAAATTTGAAACGTAACATGTTTGTTAGCCATTGGCTGTATATGGCTTATTGTGAAAATGTGGTGCAGTTAAACATGTTAATACTCAAAATAATAAATTTTTTAAAGGATGTACATACAAGATGATGGACACTCATGCTTGGGAAGTATTTTACATAATGCTGCAGGAGAAACTATAATCTACTGAATTTTTTTTGGGTAAAAAATTACCAAAAATACATTGATAGCTGTGAGACTAAACCCCTAGATTGCTAGTTCATATGTGAACTCCTAATAGCCTGGAAGTGACTCCTGGAAGAAATGTTAAATTTTGCAAAGTCACTCTTAGGAGTAGTGATGGTGATGTTCAGAAATACTGAATCCTTAGCATTTCTACTGCAGATTCTTTATGGAGATTTAGATTTGTCAAGAAATCAAATGTCTGGGGTTTGTAAGTCACCTGGTGTTCATCATTACATCAGGGATGATGACTTGCATTATATTCTTTGTTTTCTGGGAGACATTGCCTGTTCAGAAGAGAAATTACGATAAAATGTATATGTTACCTATGCCTTTCTTTAGGTCTGCAAACATCTATTTTTGGTGGTGCTTAAGAAACTGAGAGGTAAGGTGCAAGGATTTTTACAGGGATATAATTTGGCATGTTACTCAACACAACATCTGTGTGTGTATGTGTTTCACACATAGACTAAGAAGATAGATTTTCAGGGCTGTAAGTGCACATCTTTGTTCTGAATTCTTTTTTACAGCAATTAGCTGTAAAACATAATTTCTACATAGATCCTGTAAGTTGCACTCTTTGAAAGTTGCCATAAATTATTATTTATTTTTTGCTTATATTAAAAAAAGGAGAACTTTAACTGTGACTTTCTGCTTTTTTTTTTTTCGTTATGCTAAACAGATTTCCAGCATAAATTCACTGTGCAGGCTTCTCCAACAATGGACAAAAGGAAAAGCTTGATCAGTAGCTGCTCCAGCCCTCCTGCAAGTCCTACCATTATTCCCAGACTCAGGGCCATACAGTGTAAGGAGCTCAATGTACTATTGAATTTGGGAAATGTGAAGTCTGTCAGCGTGGTAAGATGCCAAGATTCAATATCTAGGACAGGACTGTTAAAGAAAGCACCTAAAATATTTGAGTTCTGCCTTGCATGTATACATTTGGAGAGCAAAATGGAGTGTCTTAGTGATGGAGGGAGTATCACCTCCTTTGGAGCTAAAACCACACTTACTCAAGTTTGTGAAATACTGCTGTTTCTGTAGCAAGTGTATTCCTTAGGTGTACAAGTTAATTTAAAAAAATACTAACGTGCAGGGTAGATCTGTAAAACATTGCTGTAGTGTATTAAGTTACTGTTTTAAGGAAATAAAAACAAGAGGAATTTTCGTGCAAATAGTGTTCCCACAATAACACAGAATTAGGCAGACATGCATGTCTTAGAATCAAGAAAGTCAAGTTAACTAATGTATAGTGTTTGTATTGGATATCACAGCACTTGTGTGTTTGATTTCAAACTGATGGTTCTAAAGAGAAACTGATGATGGAATAAAGTTGGAAAGGCTACCTATACCTGAAAGGATTGGGGAATGCTTAATTTGGTATTTGGTTGTTAGATTTGTGTTGATAAATGGTCAGAATTATGTGAAAATCACTTTTGTTACTATTCCTGTTCTGGCCTATGTTTTATTCTTTATGTTGCTGTGGAACAAGTTCTTTTAATGTGTGTATCTGTTTTTCCTTCCTGTTTTCCACTGTTCCTTCCACTTGTGAAGTGACACCTGCTGAAAGCAGTAAAACGTGGGGACGAAGCTCAGTCCTTCCAAAGGAGGAAGGAGAGGAAGAAGAGAAGAGAGGCCAGAAGAAAAAGGGACGCACTTGGGGACCAAGCTCACTTTGTCACAAGGAGCTAGGTGCAGGAGAAGAGGGGTAAGAGAGGGCTAGGAGGAAGACTCATTTCCAGGTTCTAAAACCAGTTGTGAGCTGGCTCACAGGATATTTGCCTATCCACTTGCAAAACTCTTTCTGCTTCCAAACTTCTTTCCTGTACCAGAGATGTCAGAGATTCAGAACAGTTTACAAAATTACAATCAGTTAATTTGCCTAGCAACAGATGTTTCACTGTCTGGTATTACATTAGACAGTTATTTGTCAGCTGTCAAACTTCTTAGCTGTGCAAAACTCTGTAGGAGATTTTCTCTGTTGTAAGGCTCAGTTTTCTGTAGTTTCATTGTCTTAAATGCTAGTATATAAAACTATGTGGTAAAGCCAAGCAAATATCTTCTCTTTAGTCTTTTGAAAAGGACATGTACCTTGAGTGAATCAGTCCTGAAAGTGATTTTTGCAGAAATTCAGGTTGTACCTGTTTCTATAGGTTATTGTTCTGTGGCTTCTTTTTTTTTTTTTTTTTTTTTTTTTTTTTTTTTTTTTTTTTTTTTTTTTTTTTTTTTTTTTTTTTTTTTCTGTGTGTGTGTCAATTATTTATACCAGGACTCCAATGAATCATTGCTGGAATGCTCCTTTAAACATAGGGCTATTTTGACCTTCTAAAAGATTTGAATGCTTGGTAATTTTTAGTAATATTTGAGTGTTTTCCCCCAGATAAATTCATGGGTTGACTCTTGCCATGTTTTTTAGCAGTGAAAATAAAATAGCTGGTTATAATCTTTGTCTTTGCTATAGTGCGGTCAGGTGTGAAATGCCTGAAAAATTGATGTTTGCATAGTGCATCATTATTGTAGCCCCCTGCAAGAGGACCTGGATCTATTAAAACATGTTCTCTCTCTGAGATACTCAAGACATGTCAGCAGGACAATATGGAGGAAGCTTCTTTTACTGATGCCTATGCTTTACTTATTCTACAAATGAAGGATAGGATAGCATTCTATGGAATTAAAACAGATGTCACACTTTACAATCATTAATTATGCAAAAGGCGAGGAGATCACTGAAGCTGGGAAAAAAACACTTCTATTTTGAAATCACATTCTTAGAATTCTGGGAATAGACCTCTTCTGTTTTCTGTTCATTACTGTACAGTCTGAAGCACTGATTGCTTTTGGGCATAGACAGCTAGAATGGAGTTGCTTGCAAACTGTGGTTGCTCATAAAATTGTCCCATTCTCTCTACAACTGAGATGTTCTGTAGTATTCAGAGACTCTCCTAGGGAGACTCGATACGGAGATCATGTTTTGCAGAGTGTCTGAAACATGAGAGTTTTACTGAGAGGGCAGTATGGCTAACATACAGTGAGCCACTCCTTGCTGAGATCATGCCAGACTGCAGACTTCAATTTAAAGGGAGCAGACTTGCAGTAAATATTAGTGACTCAAAATATAGTTCTTGAGATTTTTTAGTATTTTTAATTTCTTATTTTACACAGGATAAGGCAATAAAACTTCATTGAATATTTAAGATAAAGAAAGACTTTTAAGATTGAGTCAAACCATTAACCTAGACTGCCTTGTTCACCAATAAACCATCTCTCCAAGTGCCACATCCACACACCTTGTGAACATTCCCAGGGATAGTGATTCTTCCACTTTCCTGGATGGCCTATTCTAATGCCCAACCACCCTTTCAGTGAAGAAATTTCTCCTAATACTTAATCTAAACCTCTCCTGTTGCAACTTGAAGCCATTTCTCTTCTCCTATGACTTGTTACTTGGGTGAAGAGGCTGACCCCCACTTGGCTAGACCCTCCTTTCAGGGAGTTGTAGGCAGTGATAAAGTCTCCTTGAGCTTCCTTTTCTGCAGGGTAAACAATCCCAGCTCTCTCAGCTGTGCTTCAGAAGAGTGACCTTTCCCTTCCCTAGCTCTGTTGACCTTCTCTGAACATGCTCCAGCTCCTCAATGTCTTTCTTGTAGTGAGGGCCCCAGAAATGAACACAGGATTCGAGATGTGTCCTCACTGGCACTGAGTACAGGAGAACAATCACTTCCCTACCATGGTGCCTTTTGATCTCTTGGCTACCTGGGTGCACTGCTGGCTCATATTCAACTGCCTATTGACCAGCATCTCCAGATCATTTTCCACCAACCAGCTTTTCAGCCAGTCATCCCCATTGATGGGGATGAGTAGCATTGCGTGGGGTTGTTGTGACTGAAGTGCAGATCCCAACACTTCACCTTCTTGTACCTAATACAGTTGGCCTCAATTCGTCATTGATGCAGCCTGTCCAGATCCCTTTGCAGAGCCTTCCTGCCCTCTAGCAGATCAACTCGGTGTCACTACAAACTGACTGAAGGTGTCCTCAATCCCCTCATCACCCAGATCATTGATAAAGATATTAAACAGGGCTGACCTAAACACTGAACCATGGGGTAAAGTGAAGAGCTAAACTTAGGACAGAGAAGTCCAGTTCAAGTATTCCCTATAAAACGCCATTTTGGTAGCAGAAGTGCTGCTGTTACTGCTGCTTATGGGACTTTGTGATCCAAGGAACTTTTATCTTCATAAGTTTTATCACTTTCCATGTATTCTTCACAGGAGATAATTCCAGGTTTATTTGAGAATAGCATTGTGAGAATTGCAGTGACCTATAATTAATATAAAGTAAAAGCAGTCATGAAAAGATGATGCAATGATTATTAATGCTTCACTATCTTTGAACATAAAGAATATGCCCAGCAGCAGAAGGTTTTTCTACTGAATTGCAGAGACTGGATGAAGCTTTATGTTGGACTAGTTCTGTAGCAGTTCAGTTGTGATCTTACAGTGTATTCTCAAGGATATACTGTGAAGTTTTAATAGTCTTTAAACTTGGAATTGATTGGTCACAGGCTTACTATGTTATGGGTGATGGTCACCCTGCTTTTTGCACAGGTCACTAATTTTACAGAAGGTGACAGTGAATGTAACTTAAAATCCTTTAGCAGTTATATCTTAAAATCTTGAAAGCTAAATAGGGGTGAGCCTGGCAACAGACATTTTTTTATTCACTACAGTATTGTATTAGTGTCTTAACATGGTATTACAGAATGCTATTGAGACACTGGAGATGCCATCTTATGGTTTCAAGGAAGTTTTTTGCAATTTGCTGAGCAAATAAGCCTTGTCATCTCACAATTCCTAAAATGAGGTAGCTTTGCCTTCTTCTACTGAAAAGTCAACAGAAAATTGACTCAGTCATAACACAACCAAGTAAGTAACAACCTGCTAGTTAATTAATCTAAATAGATTACAGGTAAGAAGTCTTTCGGTTCCTGAGTTGTTATGTTGGTGATTGAACTGTAGCTTTAGTGCTAGTGCTTTCAAATAATTTCATTCCTGAAGGAATCATTCTTTCCTTAGGGCAACAGCAGACAATACTGCTCTATTAGGAACATTCTCTAAGTCAGCATGTTTTGAATTGTTTTCAGATGCACATCACAGTCTAATTAAAATTATGTGCAGCAATCTTCTGAACAGGTCTTTGAGGTCTGCTTGTGATTTGAGGGGAAAAGAGAAGGAGCAAAATATAAAAGGAAGGATGAAAATTTTATAACCTTAATGCCAATGTATGAGACCTTGAAATTATTCTGGTAGGTATTTATCTTCCTGTAAAGACTGAACTGCACTTTGACGGTACAAAAAAAACCTTCAGTTTGTTCTTTGCAAGGGAAGAGTGCTCTGAGAAGTCAAAAAGAAGCAAACTGAGTTGAATCTGTGTTTTCCCAGCTCTGTGGAAATTTCACCTTCCTCACTAGTTCTCTACTCATATTATAAGAGCTAAGAGATTCAGTCTTGGGGATGTTCACACTGCTAACATGGTTCATTTTCACTCACCGGCTTTCCCTTAATATGCATCCCTGTTTATAGTATGTATCCTAGGTACACCTGGGTAATTCAGATCCAACATACATTACTTGGTGTGTTGCGTTACACAGCTGAGTTATACAGCTGTGGAGGGAGTAAATCACAACAGACCCACACACTGAATGGCACGTGTGTTACAAAACCTTGTGGTTGTCTGTCTTGACAAATAGGGTTCAGTGTTGTGCTGTCTGGATTTGAGATCACAGCAGGGTCCTGCATATGCCAGAATGGTTAATGAGGATGGACTTGCAATGCCGTTCAGGACTGCACAGGATACTTTTAGTGTAATGTCTGCCACAATCATCAACCAACTGATCATGTGCTGGATCAAGTTTAGGTCCTGTGGCCTTGCTATTGCTGCAGTATAGTTTGGTGACAAGTACAGCAACTCAGTTGGGTAGAGAGCAGAGGAAAAACTCATACCAAGGCAAAAAAATAACCCAGCATAATAAATTTTTGAAGTCCTAGAATGGAAGCTGTCTTAGAAATGCAGAATAATTCTGGTGGAAAATAAGACTAGTGAGCAGTAACTTACATATGGTTGTATTTCTTTTTCTCTTTAAGGGAATGATGGTAGTGAATTATGTGGCTTACTAAAAAACAATGCAAGTTAGTAACAGAGTTGGAAGTGATCTAATCTCCAAGTTTTCTGTTCTTTCAATAACAAGTCGATGATTTTGTATGTCCAGTTGAGATCATTCAGACTATCTGCAGATATTTTTATTCCTTCCATGTAATTTCTGCCTATCCTAAGTGTGTGTGGCTTTTGACCAACACTGTGATGTTTCATGTTGGACTTTGTGGAGAAAGGCACAAAAAATTTTTGAGTTCAGACTATGTTAATAAATGAATAACAAAACTTTGAGTATTGATATACCAGAAAGTTGTGCTGCTAACCAAAGTTGTTGACATGTCTGATGTCATTAAAGTAGTGCAGGATAATGATAATGAAAACCTATGAACAGAGATCACTAATAAGTTCAGGAGCCTGGTAACATATGTTTAGACACAGGCCAAAGTAGGGATTTGGGTTTGGGTTCTTCTCTTGGGCTATTTTTGCTTTTAAGTAAAAGAAACAGTGACATGGTTTATAAGTTTAGTTGCCTTTTCCCCCATAATTTAGAACTTGTGCTTTTAACTGTACTTCAATACCATGTTTTCTTTATAAGAAAAATATTGAGGTTCATGACACAGAGACATGGCTTTGCTGTTACAGTGACTTTAGCTTATTATATTTGTTCTAGTGAGTGAAATTTGAATTCATTGTTCATTTGTGTTTCACATGAAAACATTTTTGGGGGTATTTTTCTCTCACCTTGCAGAGCAATTTATTTTTTACTTGCCATGGTAAGACTGATTGCAAAAAGGAATCAAGATTGTAAAAGATTATGCCTTGATTTAAAAAGAAAATGTTTAATCTGATTTTTGTAGTGCTGCCTTCTATTATTCTGCATTTATATCTTGTTAGTTATCAGCAGAGGCCTTTTGACTGCCACAGTGTAACAAATGAGGAAAAGACTTTTTTTAAGTGCTGTAAAGATGTCACAAAATGTCTTGCTGTGGGAGGATTTCAAATCTGTGTAGCTGAGATGGATACAAGCATATCCTAAGTAAACCAATAGAGGATATATAAGGGATGGGGAGAATGGAAACTGTGAGCATAGTACATTTTCTCACATCCTTCTACTCTTTTCAGTCTGAAAGCTCTGGTAGAAGGATGCAAGCAGTGGTCATCCAGTGCACCAAATCTTGGGAAGATCCAGAGAACTGCACCTGCTTTTCCAGGATTCACCAGCTTAGCAGAGATGGGTAAAGGAATTCCCTGAACTTGGTACTCTCATCTCCACTTCTATTCAGATTCCAATGAATCTCTTTCCTGACCTTCACCTGGTACCTTACAGCAATGTTTTAATTTTGTTTGGTATCTGTTTTTCTTTTGTTCTTTGTCAACTATCCACTTTCTCCTTCTGGATTTTCTTCTTGTTCACCTCACTGCTTGTACTTCTCCTTCTGTCAAGCTAAGAAGCTTCTGTTAATTCTCCTGTAGCTCCATGCTGTCTCTCAGCTCCTTTTCTGAATAATGATATTTACATGTGCAGCATGCTTACACCTTCACTTGCAAGGAGCAATCCTTAAAATTTTTCTACCTTTTGCTCCTCAATCACAAACACATACATTTACTCTAGAAGTTACTGAGGTGTAGGTTGCCTTTGAAATGCTGTTCTGCAATTAATCCCAAGTGGATGAATGCTTCACTGATTTTTTTCACTTTGATAGTGTTTCCAGTTACTTCTCTCAGCTTGTCTTCTTTGGAAACAATATACTGTATCTGGGAGTTGATAAATGATGATTGTGAGGAGAACAGTTGCATCTTCTGAGGAGAAGCTTATTTTAAAGTACATTTTGAGACAATGAAATTTGCCAGAGAAAATGTTACATTGAAAATGTTACAAAGTCTGTTTTAATTTGCTTTCCAGATGATGAGGACAGCGAATGTTTTAATGGAGAGGGCAAAGTGCACCCTTCACCTGTGCACAATCAGTCATACCTCTGCATCCCATTTCAGAAGAATGAAGAATGGGATGGCCCTTCTAGTGATGCCAATGAGGAGTCCACCCCTGTAAACTCTGCTACCAGTACCCCACAGCTGACACCCACTAACAGCCTCAAACGTAGCAGCTCCCACCACAAACGATGTGAGGTTGCATTGCTTGGCTGTGGAGCAGTGCTGGCTGCTGCAGGCTTGGGTTTTGATCTGTTAGAAGCAGGGAAGTGTCAGCTGCTGATTGAGGAAGAGCCAGAGATGCCCAAGGAAGAGAAGAAGAAGCGTGACAGCATTTTTCAGCGAGCTGGCCGCCCACGCAGGAGCACTAGTCCACCTTCCCGGAAGATCTTCAAGAAGGATGATCCCCTGTTGTTGCTAGGCGAGCCATCCACATCCCTCACCCTTCTTTCCCTGTCTTCTATTTCCGAATGTAATTCCACCCGGTCCCTGCTGCGCTCGGACAGTGATGAGATTGTGGTTTATGAGATGCCTGTCAGCCCAGTGACAGTCAAGGCTCCCTTGCCAGCCATTACAAACCCCCTGGTCAATGTCCAGATTGAGAGGTTCAAACAAGACCCCAACCAGTCCCTGACCCCCACACATGTGACTGTCTCTTCCCACACCCAGCAAAGCGGACACAGGCGCACACCTTCTGATGGAGCCATCAAAGGGAGTGGACTGGTTGTCAATGGGTGCCCAACCAGTGGATGCCCTTCCAGTACCTGTTTAACTGGAGCACTGGGAGCAGGTAAGTTTTCAGCCATCTTCCTTTTCCTCTTCAGAATAAAGACAGAAGCAGTATAATTACTTGTTGCTTATACATTTGTTGAGATGACCAGCCCACAAGAGTTGCTTGTGGAGGCTATCTTAAAACAAATAGCTAACAGAAGAATGCAGTAATCATTTTGGTTCCAGCATCTTCAGATTGCCATAATCTTGAAGATACAGAGTTTGTAGATTCTGGATGAAGGCTTTCTGCTTTAAATATGTTTTTGCAGTGTATTTACAAGAAACTAAGATCTGTAGGAACCACTTAGCAGTGACATCTAACATGTTTCTTCCCTCTTCTCTCACACTGTCTGTTTTGGATAGGTGTGTTAAAAACACCTAGTCCAAGCAGAGATCCCAGTGAGGTCCCTCGCCTGCCAGACCCCAATCTTGTTTTTCCTCCAACCCCGAGACGATGGAATGCACAGCAGGATCCCACACTGGAAAGACCCAAGACACTGGAGTTCCTACCCCGGCCACGTCCTGCAGCCAGTCGGCAGCGCCTTGATCCCTGGTGGTTTGTGTCACCCAGCAATGCCAAGGGTGAATCTTCTGCCAACAGTTCAAGTACTGATACTCCAAGCAATCTGGACTCTTGTTTTGCTAGTAGCAGCAGCACTGTAGAAGAGAGACCTGGACTGCCTGCACTGCTTCCTTTCCAGGTGGGTCCTCCTGCAGAAGAGCGGACACTGTTGGACATGGATGCTGAGGGGCAGAGCCAGGACAGCACCATTCCGCTATGCAGAAGTGAACTTAACACACACAAAGCTGCAGCATATGAACTCAAGCAAGAATACTGGTCTTAATATGAAACCACTGGGGGCAGTGAGCCCCTCTAAATTCAATCCTTTTTGCACTGAGAATGCACTTTGAAAACAGATGAAATGGAGGGATGCTACAGAGATCATATGGTGCTGCCTCTGCTGAAGATGTGTTGTCAGTTGCCTGATTTCTTGTCTGCATTTGGGTGAAACTTGGCAACTCTGAGCTGCTGACTTTTGCTGTGGGGTTTTCCTGTAGTCTTCCCTGCCCTCTTATTGCAGTTTGAATCTGCAATGAGCTAAAATTATCATATCAAAGTCTTTTGTTACTGACCTTGTAGGATTTGGCACTTGGCAGTAAGTATATTGGTATCCTGGCTATCCTGGTATTAATCAGTATTTTCAAATAATATTCAAATATTACACTACAGCAGACATCATTGTTTGATGTTTTGCCAAGGAATCCAGCACAGAAACATATACATATCTGGAGACTACCTTCTCTGAAATGCATTCAGATTGTTAGACAGGCCTGGGAATCATCATACCCCCACTGAAATTGCAGAAGTAGCTATCTTGTTTGTCCTCTTTTGCTCATGCGATAGTGCAAGGTGGAACAGACGGCAGGGGAAGGGCACGGTGTCTCCACTGGTGGAGGTCTTTGAGAGCAGGAGAACCAGACTGTTGGAAACAAGTAGGTGTAGTTGGTGCTGGCTTCAGGGTAGGTTGGATGAATTTCACTGATCTCCTGAGGTCCATCTCAGCCCTATTTATTTTATGACCCTATGCTTTCAAGATGAAGGCTTATAGTATAGCTCTTTAGCTTGGGTATTTTTTTTTCAGACTTACATTCCATCAGTCTCTTTTCTTCCTACCCTGTTTCTCAGGCTCATAGTCAAGTTGCCTCAGCTTTGGGAAGAGAGTTAGCAGAAACTTTCTTTAAAGATGTGTTGGCTTGCAGAAGGAAGTAAGTTATGTGTTTCCAAATCTTTTTCTTTCTATTTTTTTTCTCCTTTCTTACGCCTTTCAGGAGTGACCCATGAAACTCAAGACTGTTCTTATGCACACTGGTACTTATTTAAGGCTGTTTTGAAAATGAGGCTTGTTAGTAGTTGGATTGAGCAAACAGGAATCAGAACATCTGGATTCTGTTTTGTTTTGTCACTGACTCACTGTGTGACCCTGGGCAAATAATGTAACCTCTGTGCCTGAATTTCCCCATCTGTAAATAATAGGAATAATACCTACCTCACAAGGGGAGGGGTTGGGACATATATAATAGGTATAAAGTCCTTTGAGATCTTTGAGTGAGAGGCACTATAGATATGTAGAATTTTAATCATGTTCAAATACGTAAAACACTCCTAGATCTGGAGCAAGAACAGACTCCTGTCTGGAAGGAGGAAGTCACACAAATAGGGTGTGCCTATGCTCAGAGTTTTCTGTATAAAGACTTAAAAGTGTGTCTGTGCCACTGCAGGTATATTCTACTGGCTGTAATGAGAGCTTCAATCTTCCCCAGGTTTGGCATTATATATAAGGGTTGTGGCCTTTATGTGAGTGTAATAGGGTAGTCTGCTTTATTGCAGGCTACAGCATGTCTGTTCACTGTGTTTGTACAGATCTATGCTTGTTTTGCTAATCTGCTGATATTTGGTTGCAAATAAGTCATTTGATAGTGCTGCCAATGCAGTACTCAGCCTGTTGGGGCAGCCCAGCCTTGCTGTGAAGGCAGTAGGGCCGAATACTTCCTGCAGCTGTCAGCACAGTGAACTTGTGTGTTTAGATGTTTGTAACCTGATTTTACAAACCAGCATGTTTGTGGAGGAACTGCATGTAAGGCTTTTTAGTTCTGCGTGAGGACTGAAACCAGCATGTTCCCATTAACCAAGTGCACCTTTTTTTTCAAGCAATTACAATATGTTTTGTTTTGAAAGGTCACATATTTCTCGTTTATCCCATTCTATGGAAAATGCTTAATGGCAGAATTACTTTCTGCTGCCCTCCCTATTAAATGCTCCAGAGCTAGCCTTAATGGTGCTACACTAGATGTTGAAGCTGGAGAGCCTGTTGACTCTTTAGACAAGGTATTATGATAAGGCAAGATGGGATTCAGATACATGAAGAAAACATTTCTGACTATTTTGGCATTATTGGTTTCTTAAGCATCCTTTTGCTTTCCATTTCTGAAAACTCAGTTTGTGAACCAGACACTATCAAAAAGGCAAAACTCATCCAACAGATTGCTAATTTTGATTGTGCTATAAATCAACTTTAATGTAATCTCACTAAGAGGCTGTGTCAGAGGGATTTAAAGGAGGAGATGAAAAGAATTTATTTTTCGTAGTTTTCCTTATAATTTTAAAAAGTCTGGAACAAAACTGGATCAGCTGTTCTGAAATGTTACATTTTCTATCCAAAAGGTATAATTATAAATGTCATAGGGAGTATCATCTGCTCTATTCCAGGTATCAGCTGGAATAGCTCCATTTGAACAGAAATCTTTCAAATCCATTTACTTACATGAAATGGGAGGACACCTTTCTAGGTCACACCATATAACTGATATAACTCAGCCTGCTAACTTTGTAATATCTGGCCAGTTGATTTCACCAAGTGAACTTGTAAGGTTTCTGTCAAATTCCCAGGAAAGACAAATGTAAAGGCAAGTTGTTCAGTCACCTCTTTTACTTAGGAAAGTTGAGGATGAAGAATTAAACCCACTTGCCCCTCTCCCCCTTTTATAAAATCACTTGGTGAAGGTGGTGTGTAGCTGAACTTTGAGAAGTACTTTGCTCCAGGGAGTATCTTCCCTAATGCCAAGTAGACATTGCTACATCAAAAAACTTGTAGGACAGGTGACAAGAGTCAAGGATCCAGGTCAGGGTTACCAAACTAGATACTGTTATTACAAAGCTGCCAGACAGACTAGTTAGAAGCATATTGGTTGGTATGTGTTTGTTTTGTGTATTTTATTTTTTTTAACCTTTCTTCGATGCAATTATCATCATTGAATCTAGCATGTGAATTAACCTGAGGAAGTCTTTGAGCATCCACCCATAACTGTCTTCCAGAGGCCAACCTGAGGTATCAGGCAAGAGGAGTCAGTTGTGGAAACAAGGCTCCTGGCTTCAGTAGGTGGTGGGATATTCTCTGGCAGGCAGAGAGAGGGCTCTCAAGAGTCAGGTATTTTACCTTATGCATTCTAAAAGTTTTTGCAGCCAGTGTCCTAAGGCCCAGAAACTGTGTGCATGTTTAAGCTGGGTCAAAACCTCTCTCTATGTCCATCTGTCCCATCCTGGCTTGAATTCTCTGCTTTCTTAATCTGTTGGGGTTTTTTCTTCCCAGTTGTGGGAGCTGAGGTGCTCCAAATCTCCAAAGTGGTTGACTCTAGTCCAGTAGACAGTGAGGAGTTATGAGCCTGCCAGTTCAGAAATCTTTTTTTTCCTACTGGTTGCTAGTATTTCCATTTGTCAGGGAAACAAAAATGTCAGAATATTGGTCATTGACCTACCTTTATAGTAGTATTCTTGAAGAAGATGGTGAAAATCTAAAAAAAACAAAAAAAAAAATTTAATAAATATATTGTTTCATAAATGTCTGAATAAGTTGCACTTTTGTCTGAGAAAATGAGAAAAAAAACATGAAAGTTACTGAGCGGTCTAAAACAATGACAAAAGAATGGAAAAAATAGGTTTAAATACAAGCCTTACAAACAGGAAGAGGCAGTTTTTAAACTGAATAGTAATAATGAGATTGTCGCTGATAAAAAAGTTTGTGGTTTAGAAATATATTTGTATTTTTGTTTAGTCAGCTGGCAGTGTGTTTCACTAATTTATGTAATTGATGTGCTCACTTAGGAAATAGAAAGAAGTCTGTCAGCCCTTCAAAGTATGCTATCCTTGTAGCCTGTTTAGTTTTACTGTAATTGGAATATAATATAGGTATTGGGGAAAAGGCAACCAGTGCAAAAAAGGACAAAATTTTTTATACATTTCTACTGGTTTCATAGAAATTGAGTGTGGGACAAGTAGAGAGAAGAACGCTTTTGTGTCAAAACTAAGGTGATTAGATAGTTGCAGATTCTTTCCTAATACTGTTGCTTCTTACAGACTGCACAGTGGTCTGTTTTACCAGCAAGTAGGTCTTAATCTTCTCTCAGTCATTTTCAGAGGTACAAATGTAACTTTTAATACACATTTCCCCTCCAGTTTATTATTGCAATGGGTTGATATTCAGTATGGGGCAGAGAACCTTGGTGAAAATACTCTTTTTGTAGTAGTTTTCTAACAAAACGAGTATTTTTAAAGTGATTTTTTTGTTATTGATGGGGAAAGACCTGTTCTGGTTTGGCATGGTTTTATGATGAAATATTTTTCTGTACCTCTAGGAATGCCTCCCACTTCATAGCATGCTGTTATCTTAAGACATTGTGGATAATACTGCATAGAGATGTTACTTCGATATGTCACAAAACTGGATACCTCTCATTCTGTTGAAGGTGAGGCAGTAATGGTCAAGTAAAGAAAGGTCTTTGCCTTTGGAGTGTTTTGTTAAATAAAACATGACGGGAAATCCTCGACCTTGAGTCACCTTTCTATCTTGAGATTAATTTTTATTTGAAACCTAATTAATCTCTGTGGGATTAATATGGAATTGAACCTACTCCTACATCCCAAAATTCAGTGATAGCCTGTTATTTTTGCAAGTAATTTTAAGCTAATGTAAATAGGTTTATTTCTTTATGTTTTTTTGAAATGTTTTTCTTTGGAAAACATTTTTCTTGATTTCTAACCTTTTCCATGTGTTTTGGAGAGACTCTCAAGAACTCTTACCACCTCTATGGTGAATAAGAAGGGTTATATCTTGCAGTGTGATTTAAGTTCTCCTTTTGGCTTTTTTTTTTTTTTTTTTTTTTTTTTTTTTTTTTTTTTTTTTTTTTTTTTTTTTTTTTTTTTTGTATGAAAAAGACATTTACATTTGGAAAGATTTCTGATCCTTACCCTGTTACTGAAGAACAGTTTGTATGTTTAGAAACACAGAAAAACAGTTTCTATGTTTAGCAACATAGAAAAACAGCTTCCATGTTTAGAACTCATTTCAGACTACAATTTGGGTAAAACTGGACATTAAAAGTGAGGGGATAGACGTGTTAAAACATATTTGCAAACAAGCAATAAATATGGCAAATACAAGGACCAATGTATACTGTCACAGAGCGTAACTTTCAGACTTCATGAGTCTTTGGTTGATGGTATACTTAAGGTATCTATAGGAAAAAACACCTTCTTAAGTTTTTTCTTAAGTTTACTGTTTTAATACTAGAATACAGTGGTTTGCACAGCCAGTTAATATGGTAGCTAGCCAGACAGAAAGGATCTTTAACCAAATTTGCTTTTTTTTTCTCTCTTATTTTCAATCCAGTTTTTGGGTTAAATTTTACTTTTTGTCTTTTTTTGGTGTTTAACCGTCAATGCAGTCTTAAGAAGAACCTATTGTTATTAACCTCCCTTTCACAGTTTCATGAGGCATTATGGACATGAATCTGTGGGTTATTCTGGTGCACCCCCTATTGAATGCATTAGTAGCAAGTCATGCTGCACTTAAAATGTGCATTTGCTTTTAGTTTTTCCCATGCTTGGCTTTTTTTAACAGTTTTGCCACTGGTCAGAGATGAACACAACTTCTGAAATTACCTACATAAACTTTTTTTTTACATGACAATAGTGACAGTAGTCACTCTCAGGCTAGGAGGTATGTGCTTGATTAACAAGTAACTTGCCACTGGTTACTGGGTAGTGGGTCTGATGTAGATACTGGAATTATTATTGTTCCTTTTTAACAAGGACCTTCCATTATTTGCAACTGGAAACTCTTCAGCACTTCCTCAATGTTTGTATACAAGAAATATATTTTAGCTCCTTTTGTACATGAGTGAGAAATCTTCCTTTTTCTAATCAGGAACATAATTTTCCTACTGTGAATGGCTTCTTGAGCTCTGTGGTTTTGTTTGTTAATTTTCTGTTTGGGGATATTGTTTATTTTGGGTTTGGTTTTTAAACCTCTCAAATATATATATATATATATATGTTTGTGTGTGTTAAGTGCATCCTGTATGCCGAGGTGCCTTCCATCTCACATATCTCCTTGCTGGGGCCTGAGGTTGGTTTTTTGGAGGTACCTCCTAGTTGTAGCTTTCAGTACTTTCAGGCCAGATACTATCACTGGAAACATTTTATACCCTACCATTTACACTCCTGTGTTGAGCCACACACTATCACTGCCTCTCCCTATTTCTCCATTAGGGTTTTGGCTCCCTCCCATCTTTGTTGTTTATTTATTCTTGTTGCCATAGTAACAAGTATAAGGCAGAAAACCATACACATTTCAGATGTGCTTTGACCCAAAAGATTTCCATACTAAAAGCATCAGATACAATTGGGTGAAGTGGAAGTGGAGGTTGGCAGGAAATAACACAGTAAATAACACAGGGATACTGGCTACTTGGTACACTGTTGGCATCGCTGTTAAGTTGGATCCTAAAGAAGAATTTGAGGAATGTACAGTTACTTAATTTGATAGAATGATTTGGGTTGGAAGGGAACCTTAAAGGTCATCTAGTTCCAATCCCCCTGCTATGGGCAGGGACACTTTCCACTAGATTAGGTTACTTAAAGCCCCATCCAACTTACCCAGTGTCTGGTTGGTTTGTTTTGTTTTATCCTGAACTACCTCATTTGTAGAGATAGAACAGGCAGAAAGTCTAAGTTTTGGTAAGAATTGCTCTAAGTGTGCAGTTAAGGTTGGAATGAGATGGGAAGGCAGAGGCAAACTTGTATTTGGCTCTTTGACATACAAATTCCTGATGGAAAAGTAAAACCAGCTATTCAGTTGATTAAGTTAAGATTATACTTGCTTTAGATATTTATGTCTCCAAAATAAACAATGAAGACAAAGTGGGGCATTTTTCATGATAGTTTCTATTTTGTGGAATAGTTGATTGTCCAGAGACAAAAAGAGATTTCATATTGGCCACTACTGCTTTTAGAAGTGATAGGTTTTTTTTTTCAAAACAGATTTTATCTTTAATAACTTAATGTGCTCTTAAAGTGGAGCTGTACATGATCCTGATAGTTTTCCTGTATTTGCAGTATTGTTTTCCTAGTGTATCAGCTCCTAATACAGTCCTTACTGTATCTGAATGCTAATAATGTGCAGGCAGCCCAATAGAACTAATATTAAGGAACTGTGACATATTTTTAGTGTGCAGTGGATTTATTAACCCAGCTTTAAATGGGTTACTGTTAGGCCTGTTGCTGATGGATCAGATGGATGCACGGCTAGAAAAAGGGAACTTATAACAAATCTGCAGGAGCAATGCCAATGTTGTATTTGCTTAAAATAAGCAATTTGAAAAATAAGCATGGAGGGAGGCAGGGGGAAGGCCATTCATTAATCAGAAATACATCTATATGTCCATGCTCAAACTTTAGTTGCCAGGATAGCTAGTGAGAATCTACATTGTGTTCAATGTGGCTGAAACCTCAACATTAAGACAAGAATAATTTATTTTATATATGCTATTTCAGACTGATTAACACTATCTCCCATTCTACCTTGATTGTTTCAATTCAGCTTTTTCTCCAAAACAGATGTTGAGGTTGGATAAAACTGGCCTTTTTGTCTTGGGGAGGCATATAGGTCTGAGAAAGAAGAAACATGGCTTTAGCAATGTCCTGATCTTTTGTGTTTTGTGATCTTGTCTGGGGAGGTTATAATGGTGCAGGTGGACATGCTGGTGTTGTTTCAAGCTTCATTAATAAGAATGCCACTAGCAGCAATTAAGTTACAGAATAAACCTGGCCTCTTATTACTGTTTCGGATAGCTAAGTTGCACACTGAGCTTTCTGAGTCTAACTATATCTGGAGGTGAACAGAACTTTTTCCTTAAATTCTGCTGGAATTTGTGAATGTGGCCACTTCTCAACTTGGGCAATTTGTTTTCTCCCAGGCCCAGTCAATGTCACAAAATCGGTTGTCACCCTCAACTTATTGCCCAGATACTCATAGGAGGTTTGTTCTTTTGTCTTGCATGCTTTAGTGAGCAGCTCTTACAATGTCAATGGGGTTAGCATTTGTATCTGAGCAGAGCAGCTAATATCTCTGAGCTGACTTTTCACACTGCATCTCAAGCTCCATCAGTTCTGCCATTGCTCTATTTTCAAGGTTATCTTGACAACTGTAATATCCAGCCTATAAAGAATACAGCCACGGGGAGGAAAAAAAATAGGTAAAATAGAAAGCATACGTAGGAGTGTTTGCCAGTTGAACTGGTTGAATTTGGTCAGTGCTCTTGGCAGAGAGTAGGATCCATTCTTTTGCAACATAGATCTCTTTGGGGGATGGCTTGGTTTGAGCTGCAGATTTTACCTAGATTCATGTAAAATTCTCAGACATTGGTGCTCGTCATGTTTGGCAATTATAAGACGATACCACATAAACCCAAGAGCATCTAGTAAAAACAGCTTGTATTTAAGGTAATTAACTTTCAAGTTAAAAGGGAAGAGGCATCAATTCAGAAAGCTCTTCATCACATTCTTAAATATCACTGAAATAAGTGGAATGTATTTGTGGGTCAAAATGCACATGACCCCAGCTGAGCAAAGGTCTTTTATTCTGAATTGGGGGATTGTTGTGTAGAGACTGAGGGTGAAGGATCAGGTCCTTACCTTGATTGTCAGACTAAGAAGTTAGTTAAACTGAGGAAAAAGTTCCTCAACAAGTCCTTGGGTTTGATTGCTGACTCTTGTGGCCTTTCCATGGCTGCACATGCCATGTGTATTTGACTGCTACTTCTAACCATAAGCAGGGTAACTTTGAGAATGTTTTCTGACATGGGGTGAAGAACTTCTGCATTAGCAGATTGCTAGCTGTAAAGGGGCAGTAAGTGGTGATTGGAGGCTGTGTGTGCAAATGGCAGTTTAACCTGAGGTCTATTCTCAAGTGTTTCTTCTCATTTTACAAATGCATCCCTCAAAGCTGGTGGACAGACCTGACAAGTTCAGCAGTGAACAACATCCACCACTTTTACTAGAGTTCTAGGATTCTGTCTGTCAGCTGTCAGCACAGCACACTGTGCTGCTGTATTTAATTTCTTTGTCATAAATTCAGAACAAGCTGGAAATATCTATGATATTTTGCCTGACTTATGTTGAGAGATTTATATGGAGTGAGCAGCCAACAGTGGTGGAAAAATCAGGGAAAATACCTGTGCTTTTAACAATGTCTCTCCTGTGGCTTTGAAAGTCCAAGAATTTCTCAGCCAGAGAATGTATTTCCTCCTTCTTTTTATAAGCTACTTCTTTCTTTTGCCTTATTAATTGTGGATCTGTTCCTGCTTCTATTTCTAGCCAGATGCAAAAATTGGTGACCTGACTTTCCTAGGTGCAGTGTTGTAAATCTGAATAACCAGGTGAGTAGATTTCTCTAGTGTAAGATCATGCCCTCATGTCTGATGCTTTGAGATATGGAATAGTTCCTGCTTGTGTTGAAATCACTTTGTGAAGGGTGTTGGGTACTTCATAAGGAACTCCAAACTCTGTAGGACTGGGATTCATCTTCCAGCTCAAGTATTTCAGTCTGGTTTTGGAGACCTCTGTATGTCTTCCATTTATGGTGTTCAAAAGTCTGTTGCTATGGAAGTAGCACCTGAAGGTATGTTTTGCCTGAAGAACCTGCAATGAAGAAGTTACATTACCAAATGGCAATGTACCCCAGAATTGAATAAAATAACAGAGGCCACCAAGTTTTTCTTGTTTGTGTGATGAAATGTTGTCAAATTAAGTGATTTGTTGGAGCCTTCCTTTAACTTCTGTACAGCAGTAAGCTTAGAGGAAAAGAAAATTGCATTATTTTTAAAAAAGCTTTATTTGTGACCCGGGCTTGTTGCCTCTGACCCTCTTGGGCTTAAATGGTTAAATTATATTAATGTCCAGTTTGTTTCACTGTAGGTAACACATCAACTGAATACTCTTGTGCATAATCTACTGTATCTTTCCTCTGTTCTGTGTCAATGTATTATGTGTATTTGGATTACAGTTCTTTTTGCATTAAATTATTTTATGTTATAGAACAATATTTAAGTGAAGCAAAGAGCTAATGGAAGTTGTTGACGTTTTGGGATTTCTTTTCTCTTTGCTCTTTTTTTGGATGTACTGTAAATTGTAAACCAAGGATGCCAAGCAGGCTTGGTTCAATGGCTAAAATTATTGTATTACAGTGTAATGCTGATCTAGGCCTTGTCTCAACACTAGAGCACACAGACTTGAATAAAACTGTTATAAAAGCAATTGTGTTCAGGCCTTGAGTTCTTGGGTTTGTGCCCCAAATAATTTCAAGCAGGTATTTAGAAAAACAGTGGCATTACCTTGCTATGAAGATTTCAGAATTTTTCCCAGTAAAAGTGGTTTCTTTTTCTTTACTAGGTACCTCAGTCCTGATCAGCTATTCAAGCTCTGCGTTCTCCATAGGTCTTTTGAAATGTTTTTTGTGAAAACTCAGTTTAGTACAGTTCTTGGCAAATAGTATACCTGTCTGCTAAGCCCCTTCTGGCTTTTCTCTGAACCAAGGAATTAATTGCATACCATTTTTATTAAGGCTAATATTTCTGTTCTGTTAGCTTGAGTTTTTTCTCCTTTTTATTTAGCTAGAATATGAATCTAAATGGCTGGATGTGGAGCTTATGCAGTAGCATGTTTTGTGCATGGTGACATTTAACAGATGGTTTAGATTCACTTGTGATGCTGTGCCTTTGTCCCTGCCACATCATTCAGTGAGACAAAGTTACACGAACAAGAATCTTTCCAAGCTATTTTCATGTGCTGTGTGAAAGCCTGAAACACATGGTTTTGATTCCTAGGTCATGAATTTGAATCCTAGATTACACTTTTGCTCTTCTCTGCCACAAAGCCATCATTTCACATTTCTCTGCTTTAAGAAATGTAACCGTATTGATGAACTCACGTTTCATAATTTCCTTTGAAAAAAGATTTTTTCTAATGCAGGTACATGCAAGAAATCCTTCACTCTTCCAATAGATACAGAGACTGAACAATGCATGGGTAGGCTTCCTTTAGTCATATATTCCATTCAAAGTGCTGTACTGGTGTGTTTTGTGATAAACTAGGAGGACAGTGAACAGACAGTCAATTAAGTTTGTTAGAAATAATAGCATGCAAGATGAATTGCTTTTTCACTTGCCTTAACAAAGGTATCTTAGTGTTTTGTTTTTCAAGCTGTTTTTCACTCCTCCCCAGATCTGAACTGTTTCAAACTGAAGCAGGTATTTCTAACCTCCTGCAATGTTCTGCAAAGTAGCATTCTGTCTTAAAAGATTCAGATTTTCTAGCTGAATTTACTCACCTGTCACAATGACAAGGTTAACAAGGTTACCCTGATGTTCAAACTGGCCTCATCAGCAGCAGAAATCTATGTGCATCATGGCAGATCAATTTCTGCCAGCAGCTGCAGCTGCTGCAGAACATGGCAGGAGCACAAAGCACTGGGGTAGAAGAGGAAAATAATATAGCAGTTTTCTAAGCAGGGAAATCTTAACTTCTAGCAGAGAAGGAACATCTTAAATGAAAACTGGCAGAGTCAGTACAGATGCAGAACAAACACATCAGCAGATGCTTTAGGCTGAGCAACTTGAGCTTTTCATTGATGTGTAGGCAAGGGTTGGGTGTACAAGTTCTACTGTGACAATGCAAATCATATGTGGCCTTTAGCTCTGAGTGTGCTTAGATGAGGAAATAGCCATGTATTACTTTATATTCATATGGCACATGCTGAAATGGTAAATGCAGGTGGTGCTCTGAAAGTCCATAGCATACTTTGATAAAACTCCTAGTATAATTCCAAGGCTATGCAGACTAAGGGAGAAGAGGGCAGGCTTTCCTCTATCATGCGGCTCATATAATTTGACTAATTAATCTGCTGTTTCTAGTGAAATTTTGGCATTCTTGGTCCTTCTGAAATGGAAGTAAAGGGAGAAGATGTCCTACTAAAGCTTAACAAGAGCCTAATTACATGTAACATGAAAAGTTTGTAGACATATTGCTATCAGGCTCAAACAGACTAAGCTTTTGAAAAAATCTGGAGTGAAGATGACAATAACAAATGCAGAGTATTTTAACAAGGATTAAGAAGTTTTGTCTTCATGCTTGGGCACAATGGACACTGCAGCTTGCTTTGGGAGGGAAAGAAAATAATTGTAACCAAGGATGAACAAAGCTCTGGCGTTTTCAAGTAGACTTCAGCATGCTTTGTACCTCTTTGCTGCTTCATCTGAAATATTTTTAAATGGCATGTGATTTACTTGCTGTTAAGTCCTCATTAATTTAACAATGAACAAATCTGAGTGGAATGAAAAGAGGCAGGATAAACTGATAGCACTCCGACACAAAGTGGAACAGAACCATAATCGCTTTACTAAATATAACCAAAGTCTGTACGCTTCATGCTTGCAAAATTTGCTCTGAATTTTATTCTCTTCTCCCTGGATCAGGCTACAGTATCTTAACTTTATAACAAATCATGGGTTTTATTTTTTTTTTTTAATACATGAATGAGGTTACCTGTCACAGATTGCAGCCAGTATTAAAAGAACCAGCTCTCATGGATGTCAGCCTCTTACACCATCATGTTCTCCAATAGGGCCCTGAGACAGTAGTTGGAGAACTCCCCATTGTACAAAGAGCTTACTATTTCTGCAGCAGTTTGACATTTTTGCTTTTGGCGATCTTCCTGCAATTGCATCTGGTTATTCACTTTTGCTACAGGTACCCCCAGATCTTGCAGGCCTTATTTGGAGGTAAGAGAATCTTCGAAGCTGATGCATTTTAAAGGAGAACTTCTTGATAATGTGGCTGGAGCTGCTCTATAAGGGAATGATGAACTGAAGCAAAGGGTGACTGCAGGGTAGTGGCTACATGGATAGAGTCCTGATCAAGGTAAACAGAGCAGGTCAAGTGACAGTAACTGAGGCCAGTCACAGTCCAGTGATTCTCAGGCAAGTCTGTAGGGATAAGGCAGATCCAAGGTCAAGCTAGGAAGGCAGAAGGGGGCCTGGTTGAGCAAGGTACTGGACAAGTGTAACCATAATCAAAATTTAGTTGAGGCAAGGATTATGAACAAGAAAATGTGGCTACTTGGTCAGGGAGGAGGCTGATGAGGTTTCTCATAGCTCTTGTCTCAGCCACAGCCACACAGCTGTAGCTGACCTGACCATGAGCCCAGGCAGCCAATGTGTAGAAGGGGCTGTTGTTACAGAAGCTGTTGGTTACTCAGTGGGGCAGACACCAATGACAAAATCCATTAAAGTTCATTATTATTTTTTTCTAGTTCTGCAGTTCAGCATTGTAATCAAGTGTAGTTAGAGGATGAGAGGAGGGCCCGGGAGATTTCACCACCACTGGGGATTTCAGGAACTCAACTTTTTCTGAGTCTAGTGGAGGAAGCAGCTCCTGTAGCCTCAGTGCTTCATATCTTCAGTACAAACAGCTGAGATTCTCTGCTGGCCTTCTCCTCCATGCAATTTTCTGTCTTTATAATCCAATCTCCTTTTCTGCAATCATATAGCTTTCTCTGGAGCAATCTGTCATAACCATGTTCACCAACTGGCTTCTCACCTGCATTCAATTCTGACATTAGGACCACACTTCTTGCATCCACATGTCATCTCTTCAGCATTAGCCTGTTTTCTCTTCACATGCATTGCTTATTACAAATTACATGCATGATAGGACAGACAATTTTTCCTCACCAGTTATACACAACCTTTCAGCAGTACTATTTTAAGCAATGTCCATCAGTGTCCTCCTGCCTAAAGACATGGGTAAGGAATCAATCCTATCAGATTTTAATTCTGAAATGGTATCACAGCCATTTAGTCTGTAGAATTCCTCAACTTACACATGTATCAGAAAAACAGATGTCTAAGTCTCAGTTGCAAATTCTTTCCTATCCAACTAAAGATGGAACAGATTTTTTTTTAAAATGCTGTTGGACAGTGCAAAACTGAAAATGTCTGGTGGAATGTAGGAATTTGCTGCAATAACCTGCTCTTTAAGAAAGTCCTTTCTGGACTTGAATCTACACAGTCGTGAAGATGTGTTTCCTAATATCTCAGGAACAACAGGGCTTTTGGGACTAGGGAGGGCCAAGCAGAAACTTCTGTGAGAGCCTTTGAGCAACAATAACATTAAGTATTGCATAAGCCACAGCTGAGGGTGTTAGAAGCTGTTTTCCTGTCCTCATCTAAACAATGCAGTGGATGATAAACAGCAAGCTTGCACACAAGCTGAGAACAGTGCTTTGGAACCGTGTGGCTAAGGGAATCTGAGGGCCTGACCAGCTCTGTGCAACTCCTGTTTTGTCTTATACCACAAAAGATTCCTCTCAGGCTTTATGGCACATGCAGACTGCCTTATTTTGATGCTTGCTTATGACCTTGGGCTCCATCTCAGACAGTCTTAACCTTGTGTCAGACCCTTTGTAAACTTAGTCTTCTCCAAAGGTTTTGGTGTGCATCAAGATGTTGCCTCTACATAATCTACGTAACACCAGCTGAGAGGAATTGCCCTGGAGTAATATCCCCATCAGCCTTTCTCTTGTACTGAAGTACTATGCCAGCCATTACTTGAAGTGCCATGGGCCTAATCTTGTAACTCAAACAGCCACTTTCTTTGCCAACTGGTCTGCTCCAGTTTGCTGATATTGACTGCTGTGATCTGCCATTGGAAAGCAGACTAAAGCTAGGAGACCTTAGATCTGACTGAGCACTTGGATTCATCTTCCCAATGTGTTTCCTATATGGCTTATTACACCCCTTCTTTAACTACTTCTAGAATGGGGATGTTTATTATATACATACATCTCCATAGGCTGCAGTGCACAATAGAAAATATTTTTTAATTTACTCTGTGTGTAGGTGTAAATGTTATTTAGATGGCACAAGGCTATCACCATTCTTCAGTTTTGTTTTATCTAAGGCAAACATCTGCTAAATTGACCAAGATGATAGCTGAGTGTGTCTCTTGATGGGTAATTAAAACAGCAGCTGTTTGGGTTTATGTCCTGGGATGACTGTGCATATGGCAGGGAAACCTCTCTGCTGGCAGCTAGGAAAGTTCTGTGGGTACTACCTGTGTCTACCTTTATACACAGGTACCTGGTGGATGTCTCTAAGCTTTTAAATTCTGGCAGAGGAGCAGAAAAACAGCAGGACTTGTCCAGAAACGTTTGGTAATCCTGGAGCAGAGTCCTTATCTTAATCACCCTTCTCTAGCCA